AGCGCTGCCGGAACCGGGGTGCGGGGGGGCCGGTGCCGCCCGCCCGACACCGCGGCGTTTGTGCTCTTTCCCCTCCAGGATCATGGAGTTCTTGCCGCCGTTCCAGCGCGTGGTGCAGCCCGAGGAGATGTGGCTTTACAAAAACCCCTACGTGGAGGCGGATCACGTACCCACAGTACCCATGTTTGTGAGTTTGGCTCTTGCCGGCATCGCCTTGGGGTTTGTCTGTAAACGACCCTTTGAAATCAAAGCTGGTAAAACACTTGTATTGCGCATGCCGCTCGTTCTTAACGGGCGTTACTGAAAGCGCCAGCTAGGCACTGTTTCCAGTCAGGTTTTGTCATCTAGTCTTTACCATCCAGGGTTGTCTTTGAGATTTTAGCTGAATTTATAAAAACTAGCGGGGGCTTTTCCCTCGTGTTCATAACCAATTTCACATCCGGATTACCAGGACCACGGCAGGTAGCACATCTCTCGCTGCCAGGGGACGTTTAGCCTGGAAGCAGTTATTTTCAGCAAAATAAATTTTATTGTGAAGATGTTTTCCCTAGGATTCTAGGCTCCGTTAAAAGGGTTTAATATAAAACTGTAAGTGTTTAATTTCCATTAGACGCCAGTCTGATAAAGCAGCTGTCTCTGCCTCGGAAGCAGGGGGTTCGGTGAGACGCTGTGGCTCCTGGGTTGGGCAAGCACCCACTTTCTTAGCAAACAGCATTTGGGATTTTCTGCGAGAGCCGGGCACTGCATTAAAGGACAAAACCTTGGTGTCGCGTTTGGATGTGGCGGTGTAAAGCACGGCGGATGCCAGACTGGAGGTGGTAGCAAACTCCTTGGCAGGCTGTCAGACACCGTGGATGTCCCCGGGGTTAAATCCCACCACGGCCATGGTGTTGTGAATGGGAACTGGTTTCCTCTGAATCATCGGCTCCTGGATTTTTTGCTGACAAGCAGCATGGGTGCTGCTGACAAAGAGATAATCCTTGTGCTTGCAGGGGTGGGAGAGCTGAGGTGCTGTGGCTGATGCTGTGAAGGGGAACCCGCAGGCAGGAGGGGAAGGGAGCTGCAGGCAGGAGCGATGCTCCCGAGGCAGAGGTGCTGTTTGAGAGCCTGGGGAGCGCTGGGCTTTCCTCAGAGGAGGGAAGACACTGCTGTGCTGCTGAGCATGTGCACGGATGGGTAAAGCACGGGAAGGAGTGGGATGCAGAGAGGGGTTTTTTAGTGCATTGCACTATTTATGCTGCCTGGGGTTGTTTTTCCCTCGCGCTTTGGTACAGGCAGTGCCCAGCAACCTGTGGGTTTTGGTACACGAGGCACTGGATGGCAGAGGAGGAGCAGCCGTGCTGCTCACCCTGCTGCGAGTGCAGCTGGGTTGGTTTGGCTTTCTGATGGGAGTGTAACTGTGTGTGGGAAGGACAGGCTGCTGCTTGGCTCCAGGGAAGGAAAGGTGTGTAACCTCCCTAAGCAGTTGCTGCTGTCTCCTGGCGAGAGTGCTTAAGTCTGCTGCTTCTCGTTTTTCGGCAGTTCATCGCGTTTCTGTCTCCTTTATTGCTCATTGTCCTGGCGAGGGTGTTCATGAACGCCGACCAAGATGACACGCGGGAAGCCTGCCTGGGTGAGCTCCTCCGTCCCCCCGCGGGGTCCGCCCTGAGCCGGGGCTCTCTCAGACCAGCCCTTTGCTCTTGCTGGGGTATCAAAGCTCTCTGGCTCTAGCTGAAGTCTGAGCGCGCGCCTGAATGCGCTCGTTCAGGTGGGGGCGATGCTGATGTGACCTCTCTGCTTTCTCGTAGCTGCAAGCCTTGCTCTTGCCCTCAACGGGGTTTTCACAAATGCCTTGAAGCTCATCGTGGGGAGGTGAGAAACGCTCCTGCGCGGGGATGGGAGACGCGTCTGCGCGGTGGCAGAGCTCCAACTGCAGGAGCAAGGTCCAAAAGCTGAAGTTGGACATACTCAGCCTGGGACGAATGTGTTTTTTCTAGCTGTAAAGGCAATTAAATATTAGAACAGACACTGGTAGGGGGGACCTGCTGTCTCCAGGCATTATTTAGGTGGGTTTGTCCAGGCCTGTGCCAGGGGGGCTCTGGGCAGGGCAGTGGAAAGCTGCCTGTGCCGAGTGCATCTGCAGAGGTTTCTCTGACATGTGCCGAGGCCACTGGGGACTTGGTTCTTGCAGAGCATTTGCTGTGCCAGGCTGGGCGGGAGTATCAGGATGGGGCTGACCCGCAGGGCCTGACAGGTCCTGCCCCAGCAGTGCTGGGCTGGCGAGGGTGCCCTGCCCACGCCGGCAGGAGCAGAGTGGGGCGCGATGCCCAGTTTTGTGTTCTCTCAGCCCAGGTCACGGCACTGCCCCTCTGCACCGTGGAGGGAGCTGGGCAAGGGCTGGTGGCGGCTGGGATGCGGGAAGCGCCGCACGCCCCAGGGCTAATGCCTCGTTCTCTGCCCTAGGCCACGGCCAGACTTCTTCTACCGCTGCTTCCCCGACGGCCGAGCGAATGCGGAGCTGGTGTGCACGGGCGACCCTGGCGTGGTGACCGAGGGCCGCAAAAGCTTCCCCAGCGGACACGCGTCGTGTGAGTTCTCCGTGTCCCCCACCCGCCACAGCCCCAGCAGCGAGCTGGGGTGAGCAGCAGCCCCTGGGGAGGGCAGCTTGGGTCTGCGTTCACGCACCCTGCAGCTTTGCCTGCATTCATCAGCCTGTTGGGGGGCCTCAGTGTTCCCTCTGCCAAGCGATGGGGTGACAAACGTCGCGTGAAGCTGCCTCATAGCTACTGGGAGGGGGGATGCTTGCAAGGTACCAGCTTCTATGGCTCCTGTCACTCAGGAGCTGGTGCTTCCCTTGGGGCACAGACATCCCCTTCCAGCACCGCAGGGGAGAGGATGAGGTTCTGCTGAGGGCCCACGGCGGAGCCTGGTGCCATTTCCGAAGCGCCGCGTTTCTCTTGCAGTTGCCTTCGCTGGCCTCGCCTTCTCGGCCTTCTATGCAGCCGGGAAGCTGCGCTGCTTCGCTCCCGGCCGGGGCGGCAGAGCTCTGCGGCTCTGCGCCTTCCTCCTCCCGCTCTTCCTTGCCACACTCATCGCCGTGTCCCGAACCTGCGACTACAAACACCACTGGCAAGGTGGGTGCTGTCTGTCTGCAGGATGCCCGGAGCGTGGGGACGGGTTCAGAGCACACGATGACGGCAGCTTGGGGTTTCGATTTCTCCTCCCCTGGTAACTTTTTTGCTGCCTGCAAGGCGACGCCGCCTTTCTCTTTGGTTTTGAAATACATGCCAAGGTTTGTTTTATAGCCAAGGGTCAAGGTGCCGACCCAGCTCAGCTCTGAGCAGGCTGAAAAGCTGCAGGAGTGAGTCACAGAGCTTGGGAGGGGAACGGGAAGTGAACTCTCCTCTGGTCTTGCCCACAGATGTGTGCGTTGGCTCAGCGATTGGCTTCCTGCTTGCATACCTCTGCTACAGGCAGTATTACCCTCCTCTGATGGACTCCATGTGCCACAAACCACTTCTGTACAAATCCAAAGAATTGCCAGTGCACCAAGAAAAGCCTGTGGCTTCCAGCTTTCACCTGGACATCTAGTGACGGGCTCTGTCCTGCTGGCACCTCCTGCTCCTTCAGTGCTGGGGCAGGGCAGCGCGCGGGGAGGTTGCTCACGGTCTGCAGGAAATAGCTGGAGTAAGGACGGACCTGAAGGCCAAGCAGGTTTCTCTGCGGCGCTGGTACGTTGTCTGCTCCGGGGCCTGTGTCACTCCTTTAACTGAATGTTGTCAGGGTCCCTCCCCTTGAGCCTGTGAGAGGTTGGACCCAGGAAGGTGCTGAAGAACTGGAAAAAAGGACAGTCTGGTGTGTCCCGTGCGGGGGAGTTCAGGCGTCCAGTCCAGAAAGCACCATCGGTCGTGTCCCTTCTGGTGGGAAGGAAGAGCAGGACCGGCTCCCGGTGCCAGGCCTCAGTCCGTCTTTTCAATTGCAGCTGAGCTAATTGGAGTAACGAGCAGGAGGTTGCAGGCTTTAACCGTGGATTAAGTGGGGAGAGGGAAGGTGAAGCTAGTGTGATTGTTATTTGTGTTACTGTGCCAGCCCTGATTTCTTCTAATTGGCCAAATAAAGGAGTTTAATTTTTTTAATGAACTGTGGTACTAAACGCTTTACTTAAGGACTCCAAGGGTTGACTGCTGTACAAACCACTTCCTTTGCTGTGTCTGCAGGGCTGTTGATTCTCTATCTCTTTCCTTGCAGCTTTAATACAGTTGTAAAGAGGTGACAATCTGCAGAAAAGGAAATGGTGTCTGAAATCAGCCCTTCAGAGGTGCTTGTTTCTCTACACCATGGTTTGTTTGCTCAGACAGAGCCAAGGCACAGCTGTGTGGCAGGACTGTTGTAAGTAGTTCCTGGTCACTGGTCTCCACAGAAATGTCTGTTCTTGACCAGGTGTGTGCACGTGCAGGCAGCAGAGGGGAGGCTGTGCCCCAGCACGTGTCTCTGCCAGCCTCGGGATGTGACAGTAATGGGAACACCACCTCATCCTCCTCAGTTTGGGCCACACGAGCCCTCTGCAACCCTGCAACTTCAGCAGAAGTTACAGAAACAGCTTTACTTCCCCCTAAAAATGTGCACAATGGGAATTCTTCAGCCCTCTCCCCCCAGACACACACCCACCACAGTCATCTACTTATTTATTTTGGCTTTTGCTGGAAAAGACATTAAATAACATTTAAAATGTATTTTAACATTTTTTTAACAAAGTGCTTAAATTAAAAAGCTGATCGTGAGAGTGTCCCATGTTAAGACTGTTCCTTTCCTACTGTTGTAGGAGATGCTTTAGCAATCGGTAGTTCAGGTGCCAGCTGAACAGCGTCTGTTTCTGCAGCCAGGTAAAAGAACAGCTTCTCTCCTTTGGGGTGGGAGGGGGGATGTAGGCTGCAAACAAAACCTTTCAAATAGTGCACGATGAAGGACAAACAAACAGGCTGTGGAAAGAAGGCTCCTTACCCCATGCAGGGCAAAAGTCAGTGGAAAGTGGTTTGGCTCTTCCAAAGGCTGTGGCAGCACCCACCTCCACCTTGCCCACAGGCTCTGGCCCCAGCCCTGGGGGGCTCTGGTGGCAAAGGGGGGTCCCCGGGGCTCACTGGCCCCCGCCCCCTTGGGCCAGAACACAGGGAGCTGCAAGCTGAGCTGCCGGCAGAGCCGGGGCCACTTCTTCACTGGGGACACGCTGTCTGGACCCGACAGGCCTGGGCCCCCGCCTCGCCGGCCACGGTTTGTGTATTTAAACCAAACCCCGCGGCTGGAGCCTGCCCAGCGCCAGGTCCCCGCGGCCACCACGAAAGCCACACTGCTCCACGCCCACAGAGCGCGGCAGGGCTGCCCCTGCAGGCCCCCCCCTTCCTGGGTGCGCTGAGGACCTGCTGCTTTCCCCCAGCCTGAGCTTTCCTCCTGCCCGGTTAGATCTGGGCGCCAGCCTGGCCCTAGGCGAGGTGCAGGCAGTGCCTCAGGGAGGCCCTTGGCTTGCGCCCAGGTGAGGGCACCGAGGGGTCTGGGTCAGGTGTGCTGGAGATGGTCGGTGGGATCTGGGGAGCTGGGCGGGAGGGGACGCGCTCCCCAGATGCCTGTGCCCGGGCTCCACCTCCCAGAGCCCGCAGCCCGTTAGGCCAGGGAGACGCCAGCCATCCCCCTCCCTCGACAAGGCTGCTCCGGCTCTCCCCATGCTGCACGTTTAAGGCTTTTTTATTCCTCGAGGTCACGAGTTCCCTCGCTAAGCCAGGAGCAGGGTCAGGCCCTCAATGGCTGCTTGGGGCTGGAGGAGTGAGCGTGGGAGCTTGCAAGGCGCAGGGTGGGAAGTACATGCTGCCGCGGGGAGCCACGGCACAAGTGCTGTGCGTGCGCGTGTGTGTGTGTGTGTGAGCAGAGGGGATCTCCCCTGATGGTTTTCCCCTGGCCCCTACCCAAAATGGAGGAAAATCATCTCCGGGTAGCAGCAAGTACTTGGGAAGCAGCATGCAGGGACAGCGGCAGAGGGGAGAGGAAGGTAGAGGAGGAATCTGGACTTTTCTGGTGAGTACTTGGACCTAAGAAAGCAACAGGTGAACACGGGGAGAGCAAACCCCAGCACTAGGGCAGCCCAAAGCCCAGCCCAGGCCCAGCAGCCAGAGCTCCAGGGCAAGAAAACGAGGACGCCCCTCACCTCTCATCTACCCCGGGCCAGCAATTAGCAGCAGAGGGTGGAATCCCCCTGCCAGGGCCGTGGGGGCCGGGCTCTGGTTTGTCACCTGTAGGTAAGAACCGTTCAGGCCCCGAGGCTTGGAGCAGGGGCCGCGCATCCCCGGGGGACACTTGGACTGAGCCGACAGAACCGCGCGGGGTGCTGCCGCCCTGGTCTGCAGCAGCAAGTCGTTACCCTGCTCCTGTCCGCGGTGCTCGTGTGCAGGGCGGGAGGAAAGAAGCCAAACATGCTGACAGGCCAAAGAAAAAACCCGACACAAACTCCTGCATTAGACACAGCGCTGTAAATAAGGTCCCTCAAAGCGAACCGGGTGTCCTCTGGGGTGTCCTGGGCAATCCGGAAGGAAGGTGTAGGCGAGGTGACTTACAGCGGGCGGCCTCAACAGCCCCGGTTGGTCACTGGCTGCCTGGCAAAGGCTGGTCCAGTGTGATGCCTTGCGTCTGGTAGATCTCCTTCAGAACCAGCAGAACCGTGTCTTCTGACTCCCTGGAGGAGGAGGACGGGAGAATTAGAGGGGGACACTTGGCTCCCCGCTCCCTCAGGACTCCTGGCACCGTTGTGGGGCAGAGGCAGCACTGGGGGCACCAGTCCCCTTCCACTGTGTGTCGTTCCCCACCCCCCCCCACAGCCCCGGCCCTGTCTGTGTTACAGCCCAGACACACCTTAAGGCTTTTCTTACTATGTTGGCTTTAAAAGCGATGCCTCGGCTTACGTCAGACATGGACTTGAAGCTCTGACAGTCAGGCAGAATCTTACCAGTAGCAGAGGTGCCCTTGTAGTGCAAATAAATACTCATTAAAGCTCTCGATGGGCTTCTCCTGCAGCACGTAGTCTATGCGCCTCCCTCCGTTCAGCCTCCCCACGTTAATGAGCGCAGCCTCTTCCTTCCCTGCCGGGGGGGTCTCCTCTGGCTTTGTGTCTGGAGGGACGAAGAGCAACGTGGTTCAGCCAACGGGGAGCAGAAGCTGCGAAATGCCACAGTGTGGCCGTGCCACCCCTGCGCCCGCTCTGGCAGAGAGGGCCAGGTCCTTCCCCCAGGGCTCTCCCACTCTGGGACAGCAGCTCTGTGAGGGGCAGCCAGAGCTGGGGGACAGGCCGAGACCCCAGCCCGGCCACAGGGAGCCTGAGCGCGCTGCTGCATCCCCCCGCCCGCGCCACCCACCTGGTGGCTTCTCCGGGCCGGCCTCTGCCTCCGGTTCAGCGTCGGGTCCTGCCGCCTCCACGGCTGGCAGCGGGGCCCGCGTGAAGGACTGCCAGGCCACCCGCAGCGACCCCAGCAAGTTGTTCTTCAGGTCCACGCTCATGCGAGTCAGCCCCTCCTTCAGCTCTGAAAGGCAGGGGGGCGGTGTTGGGCTGCGGGGGCCGCAGCAGCTGCCCGGGGCAGGGCGAGGGGGGCTGCCCCTTCCCTTACCCAGGTGCATCCTCTTCCTGCCCTTGTGGTGGGGCAGCAGCATAGGCTCAAACTCCAGATCTGGCACAATCAGGGGCTCGATCCTGTAGGCCACCGGGTCGTACTGCGCAGAGGAGGGGGGCAGTGAGCCAGGGCTCGTGCTCCGCGCGTCTCTCGCGGGAAGGCTCTGCCTCCTCTACCTACGGGGTGGAAGATGTTGAAGAAGCCCCTGCAGGTGGGCAGGCTGTAGTCTGGGTTGATCCGCTTCACCCCTCGCACCGTCAAAAACATCCCGATGGGAGACCCGAAAGCAAAGAAGATGGTGGGTTTATAATCCAGCTGCGGGTAGTTTGCCAAGACCTAGGAGAGAGGGAGGCTCAGATTTGTTCCTGGACAGAGCCCCGCGCTGGTGGGAGGAGCCCTGCTGTTGCCGTCAGGACATGTCACCTGTCCTAAGCCGATGTCCCAGAACTGGCAGTTCCTGCCACCGTTCGCGCTGCTGGGGCCGTGCTGCGATGGGGACCCTGGCCTGGCTCCACCGGCCGCTGCGCCCTGGTCCTGCAGCAACACAGACGGGGACCCCTGGTAGCGTGGCTCCTGCCACGAGCCCACGCCACGGCCCGAGCCCCCCGCCTGCCAGTGAGAGCCCCCTGACCCCCCAAGCCGGGTGACCTGCACCACACCATCACCCATCCGCACCGCCGCCTGCACCCTGCACCCAGAACGAGCGCGACCTCCCCTACGGGCCGCGGGATGGAGCCATCAGGGAACAGGCGGGAGCAGCCAAACAAGAGCCCCCGAGAGCCGCCCGGGCAAGGGTGGCCAGGAGCGAGGAGGTCGGGGTGATCGGGGACCAACCGTACGTGGCGCAGGCTGACGGGAGGTGACCTGGGAGGTGACGAGCTGCGTGGGTGACAAACCTGCATCTCCCTCTGGGAGTTGAAGTAATGGAGGATCTTCGTTCTTGGTCCTAGGGGAATCCCCATTTCTTTAAAGTTCTGATCTGTACACAGGAACTGGAAGGGAAGCAGTCCAGGTGTTGGCAGGGGAGCAGAGCGGCGCGGGCGGTGAGGTATTGCTCTCCTCTCTGATTCTGTTCCTGCTGCACTCCTCGGAGACACTTCACGTGCCAGCAAGGTGTGCACAAGGCAAGAGGGCTGGGAGGAAAAGCAGAGAAGAGACAGCAGAAGAGGAGAGCTCCTTACCATTGCCTGCGGGTCCATCTTCTCCTTCTCAAAAACACCACAGTATTCAGACAGGTCCAGCTTCTTCAGGGCTTCTATTACTTCCTCAGTAACCCTGAGGTCCGAGGCTGTGCTGGGCTCCTGCGAACAGGACAGAGCCATCGGGGTCACTCCCCTCTTCCCCGCGCTCCGGGGTCTCTCCCCGCTGCAGCCACCAAAGCGGGGGGTCGGTGTGAGCTCCCCCCGTACCTCCTGGCCACGCTCCCCCTCCTCGGGACCTGCCTTCTGGTTCGTCAGGAGGTCAAACAAAATGAGCGACCCTGGAAACCAGGACAGAGCATCAGCACCTCGGCGGGGAGGAGCCTGTCTGGGGCGAAGGGCCGGTGCCCTCCCCGCTCCACCGGTCCGGTGGCCTTCGCCCCACCCGTGGGTGAAGCCCCGTACCCAAGCTGTGCCCCGCGATGGACACCCCCCCTTTGAAGAGGGGGTTCCTCTGACGAAAGAGCTGGTACAGGCGGTTCATTTCGGACGCCACCGTGTCCAGGACGGTCTGGCAATAGGTGGAGCTGTTGTAGAAGAAGACGTCCAGGATGGTGTCGTTGATGAAGTGACGCAGGCGGTTGATGCTCGGCAGAGTGATTCGCTCCAGGTCACTGCGAGGGGGGAGGAAAACGAGGAGAGAGGGAATTGGAGGCAGGGGTGCTGGCGAACCCCGGCGCGTTTCTAAAGCAAAGGGCAAGTTCGGAGGAGGATTGTCACCCTCTCAAAGGACGGGTGTTGTAATCCAGAGCCTTGGCTCGTGCCAAGGCTGAAGGCAGAGGATGGCCTGTGCTCTTGTGCTCCAGGCAGGGGTAACGAGCCCAACCTCCCCCTCCCGGGAGCTTCCCGGGGCGCTGCAGAGCAGTGTCTGCCTGCAGAAACAGGGCAATGGGTTTCCAGTGGCCTTTGGCAACGTGCGGGTGCCCACGGCCCCTGCTGGCATGAGCCAGGGAAGGGCAGGAGCCTCTCCTGGCCGCTGGACGCCCATCAGAGCAGGCACCGGCTGCGCTCTGCGAAACGGGACTGCAAGGCGACGGCGGGAGGGAGCTGACATGGGGGAGCTCTAGGGACCCCGTCTGTCCTGCTCACCCCTGCACACTCACGGGTCTCCCTTTGCCCACGGTGGCCACCAGAACACTCAGTTTCCACAGGAGGAGGCTGCCTGTGCGCTCTGCCGCTCCCGCGGACACTTACACGTCGACGCCAGTGGAGTGGAGGGAGCTGTGCCAGTTGACAGGCAGGAATTCCACCCGGCCGATCTGCTGCTGCTCCTGCGCCTTCCTGAAGTGCGCCTGCAGCATGCTCAGGGAAACGTTCCTGAAGTCATTCACTGGGAAAAGAGCATGAATTCTTAGCGAGATCCAGCAGGCCGCAGGACACACCTGCTGCATCAACAACGCTTAATAAGATAAAAGAAAAGATCATTACCAGGGGAAATCCCACCACGGTCTTTAATCTGCTGCTGCTGCTACCCTACGACCTTGAATCTTTAACTACAAGATCAGGGGAAGGCTCCACGTCCCTACGTGTGCGCTTACTGGATCCCATCTGTAACAAGCTTCCCCTCTGCGTGGTCAGGGCATGAACACAGCGGTCAGGACAACAAAAGTACTTTTAGGAATGTAAAAAAAATAAATCTGTGCAAAGATGCACATGTTAGGGAATCCTGAGGGAGGACGTGAACTTGAAATGACTCTGTTCTGCGGGAGAAAGGCTGGTTCCTTTGTTACAAGTGGTCAGCAGCCTTCAAAAAAGTTTAATCAGATGCACGTATAGAAGAGACTGCATTAAAGCAGAGGTATATTTTATAGGAACTAAACAGTCCGCTGTGAAAACTCTCAGCTCCCTTGACTTCTACAAGTTAAATCATGTCGGGCTTCCAGGCAGTTTCAGTGATCACCTCCCCTGCAGAACTGAAGCCCTCAGAGCAAATAATAACGGCTGGGTCAGAGCGGAGCCGCTGGGTTTGGAGCCCTGTGGCCAGCACGGACCCGCAGTGGGTGCTCAGCGCAGGGCCAGGGCCAGCTCCCAACCTCCAGGCAGCCTGCGGGTTCCCCGAGCCAGAAGCAGCATCCCTGGGTTTGCTCTAAAATCACTCCGGAGAGTGTCACACCTCCCCCAGTGAGACTGACCCACAGACGGAGCAGGTTGCTAATTTAGCAGGTTTAGACAATTACTTGGACAATCTGCATCCAATTTGGAAAAGTCCCTATTCTGAGCAGCAGCAGAACACGGTAGTGACAAGCGGCTGCCCAAACCTTTCCAGATGGTGGGATTTAAGGGCTCGGCGAGCATCGCGCTCACGCTCCCCCCGTGGGCAGCACACGGGACCGTGCCACTGGCCGGGGCGGGGGCCGCGGGGGCCACAGCCGGGAGTGTCACCGGCCCCGCCAGAGGCAGCGTGGAAGTGGCACCGGCCGGGCCCCGCACCTACCACACTGGATGATGTTCCTGAAGCGGATGTCGCAGGCCGGGCCGATCCCATGCACCACGAAAACCAGGTGGTCGATCTGCAGCGGCTCTCCTGGGGGAGGAACGAGAGAGTCAGAGCACGGGCCCTGCAAGGGACCTGGCTGCAGGGGGAACCGCCCCGCTGCACCCACGGGCTCTGCGCAGAGCGGAGCTCCCACCCTCACCTCAGCAGGCAACGAAAACCCCTGAGCTAGTGCTCGGGCTCTGCGGGATTTCTCACGTTCCTGAGCTGTCTGTCCTGCTAAGTTCAGCTGCCCACCCTGGGGCATGGAGGAAGGCGAGGAGGCTTGAAGAGCATCTGCCACTGTCAGGCTGGTCCTCGTGGCTCACAGCCCCCGGCCGCTGGGCACGGGAGGGGCAGGACCAGGAGGACGGGGCCCGGCTGCCTGTGCCCTGCCCGCTCTGCAGAGCCCCCCGGCCCCCCACGCTCTGGCATAGGCACCAGGCAGAGTCACGTCCTGTTCTCTACTTCCCACACACTTTGGTTTCCATACGCACTCTCCCGGTTAGACGGGACTAACTGCCTGTCCCCGGCACCGGGACGAGGCCTGAGGCCGCAGTGGGAGCTCAGGGAGAGCTGGGAGGGGGCAGAGCTGACGTGCAGCTTCAGAGACAGGGCGAGCATGTGCCCCAGCATGTGCCCCAGCGAGTCACCGCCAGTAGGTGGGTGCTAAACCCGTGTCCCCACCACGGGAAGAAACTCCTTCACGAACATAAGCGCCGAGACCTCCGGGGTCATTTCAGGCGCTGCCTCCCGCAGCTCTGGTCTTGGGCAGGCGCTGGGAGCTCCCCAGATGCCTGCTGCTCTGGTGCTGGGAGTTTCTCAAAACCATTCAGCTCCTTTCAACAGGATATGCCTCTTGTTTAAAAGGATGGTGGAAGCTTCATTTTGAAAACACAGGGCAGAGAACAAGCTCTGTAGCTTTGTGTGGAGGGGAGAGAGAAGCGAGCTCACCGTTGGGGATCTCGGCAGCGATGTTTTCCACCCCTCTCTTCACAGTCCGAGGCCGACCTTGCTCCGTGGGAGTTGAGCCCCAGTCGTCGGAGGTGGCAGCGGGGTGGTAGTGCACCATCAGCTTATAAACAAGAAGAGCCTGTCATTAAGCCGCCCGGCACCCGCGGTGAAGCAGAGCGGAAGTTCCACTGCAGGAGCCAGCGGGTGACGGGGCGGCACCAGCCTGCGACATTCACCCGTGCCGCTACGAGCCCTTTGCACAAAGGGAGTGAACGGCGGCTCGGGAAGAGACGCTGGGGGGTGAAGCAGACTCTGCTGGCACTGCCCTCGGTCTGCGAACGTCCTCTGGACAAAGCTGATCTCTCAGCAGGCGTGGTTAAAAGGAACAGCAGAAAGGCAGAGCAGAAAGCCTCAAGAGAACAGAAGGGACGTCCGTGCTGGCCAACAAAACGACCACCAGGCCCCTCCTCACCTTTGGGTTGTGCAGGATAATGATTTCTCTGCTGGGGGACTCCAGCTTCTTCTTCCATTCATCCAGGGTCACAGCAACCATGTAAGCTGCCTAAGGTAAAGCACACCCTCCGTGAGTCAGCTGAAGTATTCCCATGAATATTCACCCACTTGGGACATTCCCCACCCCATTTTACGGTGTCTCTTATCAACACACTTTGCGAAAGAGGCAGAGAAATCAGGCAGGTCAAGGTGGAGGAGGCACAGGGTCACCTGAATAGCCTGCTAGAGAGCAGCAGATTTCCCCATCAATTTAGAATTGTGTTTTTTGGTACGTCAGAACACGGATTATTGTGAAGATGTATATTTTTACACACACATATCCCCACATAGGTATCTTTCCACAGAAAAGCCCTCGGCCGTTCACAGCACAGGCCACTGAAGTCTCTGACACCACGTGGCCTTCAGTGGGTCCCCGTGACGACGGTTCCTCCTTCTCCCCTTCACAACCCCCTCGGCTTTGGCGACACCACACGCATAGCGGGGCCGGGGCAAGGGGAGGCCGCCCAGCCACAGCAGCTGGGAGGGACCCTGGCGCTGTGCACAGTTGTTAATCAGCTGCAAACACACCACCCCAAAGCCTCTTTCAAGTTCACATCCTCGGGTGTGACTCTGGTGCCGTCGCCCCATGTGCAGTTTGGGATGTGGGGGCCGGGATGTGACAGTGAGAAGCCCAGATGCTTCTCGGCAAGTCGGATGCTCCCTGACAGCGTGTTTACCTCCAGCTCTTCGCTGAAGGTCTCCGAGTAGGGAACGTACTTATTGTCCTTGTCTCCCTTGTAAAACCAGGTGCAGCGACGCACTTCAGACACCTCCTCCTCCCAGTACACTGCGACGCGCTGCCTCTTCTTCAGGTGCACGTCGTACCTACCCCCCGATGTCGGCACAACCACATCTTCTTTGTCTCTCCCTGCAGGAACCAAGGCCTGAAATTAATCGCGAGAGGAGCAGGAAGGCGCGCTGCCCCGAAGCTGTGCACGGGCCGGGACAGAGGGACGAGGCTGGAGCTTCTCCTGCAGGCAGCACACGCCAGCGGGCTGAGCTCCAGCGGCAGGCAAGCACGGAGCACAGCACCGGGTCAAAGCCAAACCGAGTCAAACCTCCCCCAGAGGCCGAAGGTAAGACGAAGACGGTCAGCTACGACCGTCTTCCCCTCTAGCTCAGGCACGGGCTTACACGGACTCCTCCCGCCTTGCTTAGATGGCAAAACGTGAATCTGGGGCCCTGGCAAGTGCGTTGCTTAACGCTGGAGCTGCGGGTCTCCAGGGCTTTAGGCCGTTCCCCTCTAAAATGGAGAACTCGGCTCAGATCCCAGCACGGATTTCAAATTCCCTTCATTCTGCTGCCGTTGGGGTCCGCGCTCGGTTCGGCAGCGGCTCCGTCCAAAGCTCCCTCGGGGAGGGCGGCCGGGAGCCGGCCTGGGGCGCCGGGGGCTCTGCCCCCCCCCGCAGCACCGGGCAGCACCTCCGGGAGCAGGGAATTGCTCCCCAGCGGGATTTCTGCCGCTGGCGCTCCCATCCCCGCCGGGGGGGCTTTGCAGCACGGGTATATATAATTCAGAGCGTGTATCAGATGAATGAGGTCAGAGCAGTCGATGCAGCCCAGCAGCCCGGTTGTTCACGCGTTCGCACCGCTACGAGCCCTTTGCACAAAGGGAGTGAACGGCGGCTCGGGAAGAGACGCTGGGGGGTGAAGCAGACTCTGCTGGCACTGCCCTCGGTCTGCGAACGTCCTCTGGACAAAGCTGATCTCTCAGCAGGCGTGGTTAAAAGGAACAGCAGAAAGGCAGAGCAGAAAGCCTCAAGAGAACAGAAGGGACGTCCGTGCTGGCCAACAAAACGACCACCAGGCCCCTCCTCACCTTTGGGTTGTGCAGGATAATGATTTCTCTGCTGGGGGACTCCAGCTTCTTCTTCCATTCATCCAGGGTCACAGCAACCATGTAAGCTGCCTAAGGTAAAGCACACCCTCCGTGAGTCAGCTGAAGTATTCCCATGAATATTCACCCACTTGGGACATTCCCCACCCCATTTTACGGTGTCTCTTATCAACACACTTTGCGAAAGAGGCAGAGAAATCAGGCAGGTCAAGGTGGAGGAGGCACAGGGTCACCTGAATAGCCTGCTAGAGAGCAGCAGATTTCCCCATCAATTTAGAATTGTGTTTTTTGGTACGTCAGAACACGGATTATTGTGAAGATGTATATTTTTACACACACATATCCCCACATAGGTATCTTTCCACAGAAAAGCCCTCGGCCGTTCACAGCACAGGCCACTGAAGTCTCTGACACCACGTGGCCTTCAGTGGGTCCCCGTGACGACGGTTCCTCCTTCTCCCCTTCACAACCCCCTCGGCTTTGGCGACACCACACGCATAGCGGGGCCGGGGCAAGGGGAGGCCGCCCAGCCACAGCAGCTGGGAGGGACCCTGGCGCTGTGCACAGTTGTTAATCAGCTGCAAACACACCACCCCAAAGCCTCTTTCAAGTTCACATCCTCGGGTGTGACTCTGGTGCCGTCGCCCCATGTGCAGTTTGGGATGTGGGGGCCGGGATGTGACAGTGAGAAGCCCAGATGCTTCTCGGCAAGTCGGATGCTCCCTGACAGCGTGTTTACCTCCAGCTCTTCGCTGAAGGTCTCCGAGTAGGGAACGTACTTATTGTCCTTGTCTCCCTTGTAAAACCAGGTGCAGCGACGCACTTCAGACACCTCCTCCTCCCAGTACACTGCGACGCGCTGCCTCTTCTTCAGGTGCACGTCGTACCTACCCCCCGATGTCGGCACAACCACATCTTCTTTGTCTCTCCC